CCCCCCCTACTCCTGTGTCTGCACATACCCCTGGCACAGGTGCCACTATGACAGGAATTCGGACAACAGGACCTGCATTACATCAGCAAGTTTGCTAATGAGCCAAACAGGATACTGCATATGTATGCTATGTTAATCACTGCAAGTTGTTTTATCCACCCCTGCGGCACTTTCCCTTGAGCTTCATTCCCAAGCAGGTGTCTGCTGCATCAGGTCCCCATTTTGACTAGGTCAGTGTCCTGGGGCTCCCACTGTGGTAATATTACACTTTCCATAAAGCCAAAGCTTTCACTCGCTGAGTGCTTGTCGTGAATGAGCAGTTAGGTTGCTTAAATAATCACCGCCAAAGATATTTGCAAATAGTGATTTTAATAGAAATTTATAAAGGGGTGATTTAACAAAGTTCAATGGCAAGGTTTACTCTATTACTTATTAAATGAATGGAATATATGTATAGAGAGAGAAAGAGAGAGAGAGAAGGGAAGATTGAGATAGAAGAAAATACAAGGGGGGTAAAGGGGACCCTCCCATTGAGTCAAGAGAGGTTCAGAATGGACCCCCTTGCTTTCTAAACTCCTTCTCAGAGAGGAGCCTACGTGCGGCTGGATCCAATCCTAGTCTCAGGTGGGGTCAACGGTTTATGGCTAAGGATTATATGTATTTAGCAGCAACTTCAGGTTTGTTCACAGTAAGGAGAGAATCACAAGAATTTAATGGTAACTAATAATTGGTTACTCTAGCATCTACAAAGTGATTAAATAAGGTTTACTACAATATTTGTATCGCCACACACATTATGATTATGCCAGGTGAGATCAAGGCATTCTTGTTCCCCAGCTCGGCCATGCAAGAGTACCTGCTACGACCAAGGGGCACTTAACCGCCAGACTCATTGCTCAAAGGCCAAACCTTGGCAGGAGTCCCAGTGATCATAACGTGGTCCAGAGGAGGGGGAGGGATGCACCACCACAGTGTCGTGCCTCGTTCCTGAGGGATTCGCACCTAGTCTTTGCTCCTAACACCGCCTCTGTGTCAAAAAGAGGTGTAACAGTTTGCAACAAGACATTGATGTTCTATGCAAGTACAGTTATATCAGATATGTTGGCTGCATTTAGTTATGTGTTAATTTTAGGAGGAAATACTTGGTAGTTTATTGTGAACTAAAAAAAAACCACTTCATTTCCTTATGCCTCTTCAGGTGATTTATGCTCTGTTATTCAATTTAGAAGAGAGAAATAATTGCAAAAACACAACTGGCATTTCCTGGAAAAAAAATTCTGAACAATGCAATAATTATGTAATACGGGATTGAAACAACAGAAAAAGCAAGATTAGATTAGTGAGACAGTAAAATGCTGATAAGTTCTGTATACAATATTTGGTGTGTAAAAGCTTCCCTTTTAAGTGGCATTGTTTGCCTTTAAACCCATCCTTTTAAACCATCCCGTTTGGAATAAAATGAGTTTATCTTGAGTGGGAACAGTTTGTCAAGCAAGCCAGATTATTCTGTGTGGCTGTCCTATCCCTCCTCATTATTTCTCACTTCATACTTGAAGAAACTTGTCCAGCAGTGACTTTATATTTTATTCCAATTCCTTGATAAAGTATTTAATAGCATCACATCTATAACTGATTTGCAATCCTCTGAGAAATGTCTATTAGATGATGATTCCCTATCAGCTACTTTTTGAGATCACCCAGCTAGGTAGTTCCTAATTTGTTAAGGAGGTGCTTGGTTAATCCAACATAGTACTATATTTTGAATTGGACTGTCACACAGTACTCAGTTCACAAATATCTCATGATATAGCTACATTGTTAGTTAAATTCATAATTGCATTAAAAATAATAAAAATTGAATAAATGTGGTAGTGATTGACACTGATTATATTTTCATCCTTTAATTCATTATTGATTGAATTCTGTATCAGCTTTCCTATTATTTTTGTGGAACAGATGTTAAGCAGATTTTCCAATAATTTTGCAGGTCATCCCCTCTGCCTTTTTAAAAAATAATATGTCTTTTTGGTGATATTATAAGAGTCATTTAATAATTAAGAGAGTAAACTGCTGCTGCAGGTCTTATGCAATTCTTTTAAAATTACTGTGTGAAATTTATCCAGGAACATGCATTTAAAAGTACTTCAGGTTGAAGATTTACCTCCATCTGTTTTCCTAGTGTATCAAAAAATAACTCCTGATGGTCATGGTATGAAATTACATCATCCTACTTTTTCTGAAATACTGGACAGAAAAATTAGCTAAATTCTTCGGGGGGGGGGGGTGTTCTGCGTCGTGGGGGGGGGGGGGTCATATCAATATGAAATAATGATTGTTTTCAGTTTGTCTTTAGCAGTCACCGAAGCCCAGGAAACAGTAACGACCAATTCCTTTTTAAACACCTCCACATTACTGGTTAGCGAAACTTTTAACTTACCTTTGCAGCCAGCATGGTCAGGTGATAGAGGAGAAGTATTCACAAAAGCAGTGTTATAAAAGTTGCCTCTTGGTTCCAGAGGAGTTTCACTTGTTCTGATTTCATAACTTGCAGCTGAAAATACAATTAGAAGATATTGTCATGTGTGTTAGCTATCATTCAAACTTTTGATCTCTTTCAAAATAATTTCTTTTCAAAATGCTTTCAAAATACTGCTTACTTAGTATCGGTTTCATTAGTTAGTTCAGCTACTGGGAAAAATAAATGCAGCATGGCGAGTAGATCTGCAAAAAACTTATTACCTAAACTGAGTGGTTGAATGATTAGATTTCTCACAGCACAGCACTGAAATGAATAGATGATGGCAGTCATCATGAACCCACGCTGAAGTCTCTCAGTATTTCTGGCTTCACTGAATTTGACCTTGCACTAAGTGAAGTAAAATTCCTGTTTCTTGTCCAAATTTGATGTTTCTTTCCACTCCTTCCTTACATTCACAGAGTATATGTCTCTCTTCCGTGAGCAGCAAAATACTACAATATAGTGAAAGTGAGCCTTCCATCAAAATTCCAAGAAGCTCTTTCTAAAAACGTATTGGCTAATTCCATTTAAAATCTTTGCAAGAGCAGAGCAAGAATAAAGCCCTAGAACCACTGCACAAAATGCCCACTGGTGTCAGAGAAACTAAACTCCATTACAGATCTTGTGTTGTGTGATGTGTTTCACACTGAATTACTAGAATAGCACATTTAAGCCATTTATAGTTCACAAAAATTTGATTAATGATGAAGAATGAGAAATGTTGAATCTTCAGTTTCTGCTACAAAGTACAGAAAAAACTGAGCTGGTGCTTGTACAGGTGTTTCCGGATGCAACAAAATACTCTTGATAAAGGTTGGGAGCTCACTTAAAATGCCCACAGAAAATGTATTCATTTTGCAATTTCACCTTGGGCTGGAGACAGGATAGCAAGACAAAAACATACCTTGGCTTTCATCAAAATCATTTCCTGGGCCAGTCCATGATAAAATGACCTTACCATCTTCTATTCTGGCATCAAGATGAATAATTTTACATGGTGAAAGCACATCAGGATAAGGTCCCATTGGAATTGCAGACACTATAAAGGAGCCTTCTGCAGCTGTTCTATGGAAACCTCCTCTTCTGATCTGAATATCATTTTTAATAGCTGAGGGTCTTGATGGGTTCATCTTGATTTTACCTCAATCTTTAAAAAATGCTGATTAATCTTAACTATATGCATATTCTTGTAGTATGCAGGTGACCTGAACTTCACCTCATTTATATGGTTTTAAATCTGAAAAATCCATTAGCCTCATTTAAGTACAATAATTGCTAGTGCAATAGCTACCTCTTTACACTTTCAAGAGTGCTAATTACTAAGAAAGCTAATATGAAATTGAAGTAACTGTTACTTGTTATAAAATAATTACAGGAGAGTTTAGTTTACTGAAACTTCAACCGTTCTTAATTTAAGATGACTGATTATAGTACTCTAGGTAATGAACTTACAGTTATTCTTTTCACATGCAAAACACAAATCCTGTCTATATCTGTAATACAGAGATAGTGCTCTATTATAGCTGTTTACAGTCTACTTCAAATATTCTTCTGGGGAGTACAGACTTTTCTTGTGTTAAAGGGAAACAACCACACAGTGTTTGAAAAGTGTTCAAAACTAAATACCTCTTAGCTGGGCTGTCATTGCTCTAGTGCCTACTCTTAGTATTTGTGAAGGGACTTGATATATACAAGTGCTGGAATAAATAGCTGTATAATTTTCTCTGCCTTACTACTTACTACCCTTTTCTACATGACCTGGTATAGACATGGCACAACTCTGTGGCGTTGCAGTTTGTGGCACAATAGTTCTATTAGCTTGGATGTAAACTTTCAGGCTGTATCTGCCTTCTCAGGGAAAGTAAACAAGTGCTTGGAATAGATCCTATCATTCTTAACAATGTGAGAATCTAGCTATACAAATGACATAAATTAACATCAAACAAAAATGGTTGTATTTACTTATGCTTTCTAGATTTATTTATCTAGAATATAAGAACAACAGGAAAATTCTTCTCTGTCACGCAATCTGTGCAGCTCCTCTGGTTTTGATGGTATGCTAAAACTGTTTGAGAAGACTGCAGTCTGAAGTTAAGATGTCTTTTTGTACTGTGTTTTAGCTCAGGGAAATGTTAATTCCTTAGAAAAATCATCTATTATTTCATTATAAAGCTA